TTAATTTTATATAATAATATAATATATTAATAATATTATTTTGAATAGGTCCAAAGTAAACTTTCTAAAAGTCCGAGTTTAAAGTTTACTTTCGGAAGTATTTTAAAACTTACGCTTGTGTTGCAGAAAACGATCTTAAAAACAAACTTATATTAAAATGTATTTCATTTCGTATATGTGTATGTGTATGTGTGTGTGTGTTGTGCGCGCGTGTATATATACCGCTGCGCTTTGATAACTATTCAATTTATTTAGAGCTAATTAAATACGCGATTTATTGTAGGTATTCGAAAATATGTTTGTACGTAGAGTAATCTTGTAAAAATTATTTTCAAAAGTATTCGAATACCGGCTTTACAAGATTGTTTACTATAGTGATACGTGAGCAATGAAGTTACAGGCGATAATAAATATTACACATACTATTATACTACAGCGCTATAGTCACAAGGTGATCGACCTTCGAACAGTACACTCGGTATATTTTCGGAAAGTACCCGTTATATTTTTTTGGAATTTTTCTTTTGGATAATTTATGCACCAAAGCGGCTCTAAAATATTACATTTCCTTTATTTTTTTTTTTTTGTCGCCCTTAATTAATTTCAACGGTGAAACCAATAGCCACTTGCCGAGGCGAGTTTGTCGTTTTACCGGCTTGGGGAGAGTGGTGGACTAACGATGCGCCACTACACTTATCCAAACCATGTTATTAAAGGTGTAATATCTCGTCAACCGGCTCCCGGAAACTGAAAACGTCCACACTTAAAATGTGTTTGAACTAAAATACCATCCATACATGGCGGAGTTTTTAATACAGGCCATTGTTTGAAACTTCAGTAGCAGTTTCATTCCCAAAAATAACGGCAATGTAACATTTTAGAAACGCTTTTCTCTTACACGTTTCTCTAAACATATGTTTCGAACAAAATCAATACTTTCCGGGATAACGAGTGTCGAGTATCGAGGATTGATCATCCGTGTAGGCATATAATAAAACAGTATAAATACGTATATAGTTAACACGTAGGGGCGTCACGATTCGATCACAAAACTCGCGTTGTACAGGAAACGGTCGTTGGTGCGATTTCAGCAAACGATAATCATAAGCGCGCATAGGGGCAGAGAGGGGGTCGAGGACTCTAAATGTCTCCTATACTCGTTCTGCTGTTTTGTTTACATTCATTCAATTGAACATTTCTAAAGGCAAAATATAATTTAATAAATACAAAATAATAATACCGGAGTGTAAATTATTGTATGCGTTGGAAATGTGTATTGTATATTATTATACATGTTCAGTTCTGAGCATACCTAACTATATTATAATCGACTATACACAGGTTTAAATAATGTATTTGTAAAAATGTGTAGTGAGTTTTATTGTTTGGTTTTATTATTGTAATTGGACAAAAGTGTGTAATGTTCGAAACCGAGCGTTCGTTTAGGGGTGAATACTTCTGTGAACGCCCGGGCGTTCTGGTCAGGACCTCGGACCTTTCAAACCACAAACGCTATTTACGCCTACATTGACAATATAATCGCGGTGTTCAGAACCTACTTGGAAAATATCGAAGCCCTGCGCAGTAATTTTTGAGGGGTCTCGATCGGTTTTTTTTTTTTTTTTGCTTTTTCGCCTTCCAATATCCGTAAGCGTAGGTATAATTCGTTGCAATACAATTCTTCTTTTGTTCGTTAATTTCGATTTATATATTCCTAAATAATCGTATGAAATTACTATCCATAGCAGTGGTTCTCAATCTTTTTATAACTGCGACCCAAATTTTTCCCACAAAAATCTATCGTGACCCACATGGTTTCACTTTACTCCTCCTTACCACCCCAATCAGGTTTCCTTTCAGAAAAAGTGTTAAACTTGATAACCGGAGCAAAATTGCTGGTAGAAAAGTTGTTCACAAAAAAAAAAAAAAAAAAAACATATTTCTTGGAAACTATATAATTCAATAACAATTTTCGCGACTCACAAAAAATTGACTCGGGACTCACCAGTGGGTCACGACCCACAGCTTGAGGAACGCTGATCTATAGCTATGATTTCGACTAGACGCGGGGCCTCTAAAAGTGCAAACGCGCAGTTTGGACTGACTTCAAGCTTTCAAGCCCTGGCGATATTAGTCGTTTAGACGCGCATGTGTGCCCAGACAAATGAAGGTACGGATATTATTATGCAAATAGGTATCGTGTATCGTGTCGAAAACCGAACGCTCGCATTTCTCGACGAAGCAGTACCGTCAAATACGATATTATATTTTCGATAATTTACGCAAACATATACGTGATGTCGATGCAAAACAAAAAAAAAAAAAACTGAGTGCAAAGCAATAAATACTCAGAACGTACAATATTATATTATATACTTACCTATACAGGAATACGAGCGGAATTTCGCGTTATCCGATCGCAATCGGTCACACTGGTGTATGCTATGCGTATAATAATACAAGTATACTTCCGTCTGTGAATTAGAATTGCTAAGTATTTTTTATTATAGATGCATGTGTGTGTGTGTGTGTGTGTGTGTGTGTGTGTGTGTGTGTGTGTATAAAAACGTAGAAAATAAAAATAAAAAAGGAACAGCTGCGGGGGAAAAAAACCGACAAAATATGACCGCCGAGAAAATACATTTTATAATAACACGTTGTTTTTGCAATTTGTGCCGTATAATACGATTTGCGCGTTTTTATGCGTGCGCTCATATAATATACAGGGTGATTTTTTTTTATCATGAACCATCAATTATCTCAGAGGACTTTAAATGAACTTGATTTCTGTTCTTTCTAATCTTTATGGAATCGTTTAAGCTTTATTTTAAAACCATTTTTAATTTTTCCCCCTACTCCATATACTTTAAATAAACGCATACTTTACAAATAGGAACCCCCCTTTTGAACTCAGATTTGAATAGAGAATATTTTTCTAGAAATTTTAATATTCGTCACACTAATATCAGATTTACCGTTTATGAGTTATAGCAGTTTAAAGTTTCAACCGGGGGAGTAGAGAAGGGTCATAGATGGGCAATTTATTACCCTTCTCTACATCTCCGGTCTAAACTTTAAACTGTTCTAACTCATGAACGGTAAATCTGATATTCTTGTTATGCATATCAAAATTTCTAGACAATATTCTTTATTCAAATCCGTGTTTAAAAGGGGTAGAGAGGGAGTTCCTATTTGAAAATCAAAAGTATGCAATTATTTAAAGTATATGGAATAGAGGTAATAAATTGAAAATGGTTTTAAAATAAAGCTTAAACGATTCCATAAAGATTAGAAAAAACGGAAATCAAATTCACTTAAAATTCTCTGAGATAATTGCTGGTTCATGATAAAAAAAATCACCCTGTATATATACGTTTTTTACATGTACCTACTATCGTACATTGTATATAATATTGTCGCGTGACTTATAAAAATAATTATATCTCTTCGAGTGCCTATTACTCGGGCGAGGGGGGGACAATTTACGTTTAAACGCGCGTATACGACTCACTAAACGCCGGCGTACGAAATTCAAATCGGTACGCGTTGCAATTATATACCTAGTTGAATTCTGCGGTATTGTGACTTACCGCGCGGTTTTATAGGTCGACGGGGGGCCCGTATAATAGAAAAACCGCGTCGTGATAATAATTTTAACGACGATTTATACGCGTTTACCGAGATATACTAACAATATTTTGTCGCGAGTTCTTTTGAGTCTCTCTTTATAAGGGTAGGTTGCTTAAAGATCAGTTGTGTAACTTTACTATAATGAGCCTGTAACTAACCAAGCCTGTAACGGTTTAATGGCGCGTAAAAGAACAAAAAAATCGAGTTGCATAAAAGATTTGTATTTTATTGATAACCGTGGTTACCAAATAAATTACGCCACATTTTATTTGATTACAATTATTACTGATTACATTATCAATTGTCAATTAATAATACTATTAATAATAAATAAATATTTGAAAAAAAATATTCGGACCTCAATTTATATTATAATATTTGTTATGGTTTTTGACGATGGCTCCAAAAAAGATAATCAAGCAAAACTTTACTGAACGAGAAAAAGCGACAATATAATGGGAATTGATAATTCCACATCATAAGAACATAATTGAAAAAATTTAGCTATTCTTTTGGCTGGTTAACTCAGTTATAAATTACAATATGCTAAACAAGATAAATATTAATATAAATTTTAGACACGATTTTGTTAATGGGGAAAAAAACACCCGTCTTGGAAGGAAATAACCAAGGTGTAGAACAGTAATTTTTTTCTTTATAACATGCAGATTTTACATGTTATTTACGCCTTTTTTAGTATAAATATGTAGAAACCATGGAAATTAAAAAAAGAAAAATCTTAAACTTAAACTGTGGAGAGACTCGGCACGAAACATTTTAATTGTCCAGAAACTGGAAATAGAATAGTTTTGGAAAGACATTTGTTGTTATAATGTTGATCTGCCGTATATTAACGAGTGTGTAAAATTTACAGACACGAAATTGGACCCGTAAGTATACAGAACCGGTGGCCGAGAAATTGCGGACCACCCGTTAACGTTTCAAACGGCGCCCAATTTATTTTAACGGGCCAGTATATACAGCGTGTTGAACACTCTGTAAACCGCTAACGAACGTTTATGGAACCCGGCATGTGCGTTGTTGCTGCAATATTATATGCCACCCCGTATAAACGCGCGTTTTCGCCGGCGAGATGCGGTTTCCGCGTCGAAAGAAGAAGAAAATAATAATAAAAAAAAAAAAAAAAATCATTATTTAATAAGCGCGCGGGGGCGTACGCTGAAGGTGTTGTGTAATTTACACACGCACAAGTGTATGTGCCCGTCGCGTCGTATATTATAAAACGAACGAGAAAAAAAAAATACTCGTATCTTTACATCAAACGCGTATAAAATCGATGACACGCGGTACCTACGTATGATAAATACGTGCCGTACAATATACGCACACGGTGTATAATATCGTATATGGAAATATCGTAACGATTTTATTATACGGTTTGTTTGTTTGTTTGTTTTTTTTTTTCCGGTATTGTTTTTCCGTACGCAATAATACTATAATAATATGTTACGCGTTATCGGCGGTTCCACAATATCCGGTGGATACTCGTAACGGATCGCACAATCGCGCGGGGCTAGGGACTTTGCTTGAAAAACGCACGCGATTGTGCCCCGTATAAAGTTGTTAAACGCGCGCGCTAGAGACGCTTAGACGCGCGCTTGAATTTACGTTTTATTTCGTAATTTATTTAAAATTAACAAAAAAAAAATAATAATAATAATAATAATAATAATCTGGTTCGGCGGCAGTGTATTAAAGAAATAATTGCACCCTAATTCGAATCGATTCAATACCAATCAAGTTAATTCGATTTAACGGATACGTATAGACTGCAAAGTCTGCAGACAAATTTTTCATCAAGGCGCAGTGTCCGTCAGTAAACGATCACTTCGCTGAATATTCTCGTCCGGTTAGATAATATCGTATACAAAAAAAAAAAACCGCCGACGACAACAACGATAAATTGCTTATTAATTGTCAATATTTAATGTCATAATGTGTTTACAATGTTTACACCATAAACTACAGATACGCTGCAATTTTATTGTTATTGTTGTATTTTTTTGCCCACGCAGTTTTCGCGTTTATCGACAGAGTTATTACTTTTAGTTAAAATCATTTTTTTTTTTTTTTTTTTTACAGTAAAATAATGTTCGAATATCGCGTTTAATATTAAATATTTTGTCGAATTATCCCCCGAAAATGGAGATTATTGCGCTTGTATATTGGTGTCCGCTATATATAATGCATGATGTTATGCATGTTTTTCGCCCGCTACTTTTGGACGTTTTTAGCGGCTCCCGACGGACCGAACGAGCGAAAACTCGGAAGTCGGGAATCGCGGAGTCGTTTCGCAGGCGGCGGATCGAAATCGAAGCGATAAAAGTCAAGTTGAATTTCGACTTATGCACGACCGGTTTCGAATTGAAAATCCTTAATCGGGCGCATCGCAGTCGAAATGCAAAACGCGACTGAACATCGAGAATCAAACGAAGGAACGCGTAGAGAAAAATTAAATAATTACACGAATTGGCCGTTTTACAATAGAATACGGAAATCGTTTGGGTTTAACAGGAGAGATTATTTAAAACTACTCGTTATCAGACACGGATACGTTGAGAAACATTCATTATTTGGTTGTTGTTTGCTGTCCGAAAAGTATGTTGGTGTGAGACGTTATTCAAACCGTTTTAACAGTTTTGGTTTACACTCTCGTGTATTTCGTAAAAAAAAAAAAAAATTGTGAAATTCGCCGGGAACCGGAAACGGAAAACGAACCGCTGTGAACGGGAAAAACAAATAACGTAATGCTATTATGTTTTTGGGAACCCCCTCCCCCCACACACCACCAGCCGCCCCCTCCACGGCCACCTCCCACCGCCCGTAGTTAGTCGACGACATCTGTGTCGCCCGTCGCCGGCGAGCGTTGCGTATCGCGCGCGGCGAATAATGTGTACGAGGGAGGAACGCGACGAACGACGGCTACGGATTATTCCGCGAGCGAATGTGAGGGGGAGGGGGGGGGTGCGTATATTGTGCGACGGGACCGGGAACTGGGACTCGTCCCCGGCGCGACCGGGGTGGAAAAAGTGACGGCGGCGGCGGCGATGATGCGGTTGCTCGACCGAACGGTTCAATTATCGGCCGTACGTCCGCTCGTTACGCGCGCCGATTTCGAAAGTCCTTCCGTACAGCCTGCCCGTATCGTTATACCGTCGCCGCGATCCGCGTACGCGTCCCCGAGTCCGTCGGATCGGTCGGCCCCGCCGCACTCGGACTGTTACTACGATCATTACAGCGGGCGTAGCGAAAATCCGCCCGTGGGGGAGGTAAATGGTCCACCGGATTCCCCTTATCGGCGATCCGGTAAATTTGTCACGGCCGCGGGCCGGCTGTAATGCCGGGCGGATTCGCGCGCGCCAAAAAGTCGCCGATCCGAATGTCTGACAAGACAAATTAATTGAACTCTCCGTTGATCCGTCTGTCTAGCGCGTTTTAATCTTTTAGACGATAACAGACGTATACGAATGTTTACAAACCGGAAACACAATTTATTCGTACAGAGATTGCGTTTATGCGCACAGAATTTAAATGCGAATTACGTGCTGGCTTCGTTTAAAAAAAATTATCGCTCACTTTACTCAGATATAAATCACCAACTCAATGATTGACGCGTCAACAGCTGATATGATAATGATTGCGGTTACAGGTGTTAACCAACGAATTCACTAATATCAACAAAAGAATCGTTTCTAAATTCCCATCAGTCGTCCGCTGAACAATCTGCTACATTAGAGATTCCAAGACCCGGAGCCAACAGAGTGGCAATTTTTAATATGCATAAACATAAAACCCACGCTGACCCACGCTGCGCTAGCTCGGGCATCGCCTCTAATCAACGACTCTAACCGTACTGAAGTCGAGGCTGACCATTTGCGGCCTCCCTCGAATTAATCGAGTACAGTTATGATCGCTGAGGCGCCCTTCTTTACAGTAAGCGCCCAGGGCGTAGGCCAGGGTCGTCCACCTCTAACGCCGGCCCTGGTAATGGGTGAAACGCTTGGAACCCGTTCGGGATCTCGGACGCAGCGGAGCACTCGAAGGGTCTGATAAATAACCACCCCCATATTCCCGAAGAGCTTCTTAGCCCGTGTCGTGCTCTTAGAACTTTTTTTTTAAACGGCTCGTTACATTTGTTTGTGTTCGGCTTCAAAGGTCGTTTATAGGCCCGTTGAGCTGCATCACGCCATCCCCACCGCCGCCACATAATACTTCCCCGTGATTTTCCACTCCTATAACGGCGTCGTTGGAGTCGTTCGAGCGTCTCTTCATATACGATACGACAGATACAAAGTGTAGAACGAGTCGCATTATCGCTACGTATTCGTTCGTTTATTTCATTACTAACATTGTGCGGTACTCGTATACCTTTTTCTTTGGGATTTTTTTTTTCCCGGACACTTTCAACGATAAATATTCGTGTCACCCCGTCCAGAAATGATCATACAAGTACGCCACTGCTCGAACGAAATCCCGAAACGGTATAGGGTCTGGGGAGATTAGACCGAGGCACCGCAGGCTGTCTCGTCCGCGTCGATATCATGTGTTGCAGCTGGTCTCTCGGTGATCCGGCAGATATCACGGACGGCCGGATTAACGAAAACGCGTTTTTATTTACTGAATAAACCGCAATTAGTTTTATCGAAACACGTAAACAAACACCGATTCACGCTAATACAACTCAATAACTATGCGACCGACGAGTACGCAACAACATGCGCACAACATCACGTCAACTGAACAAAAATAAAATATCTAATCTGTTAGTTTTGTCGTTTACGGTAGTAATTTTATGGTAAAAAATTAAAAATAAAATATAGCCGGATTACTGGACGCGTATAGAATTATCCCACGGCCGGACTACCGAGAGTCTGTATTATAATGTATTTATATACCTTGAATTAAACAGTATCAATAGTGAGTTAAATCGCTGAAAAAATTATTTTTAAATCAATGTGCGAACCAATAGTTAAATTACCGGAAACTTTATTTTACATTTTTTTTTTTATCTTTTATTAATAAAAAAAAAAAAAAAATACAACCGGATTTCGAACGTTAAAATAAAAATAAACTACGTACAGAACAGTATAGAATTTCACTGCACTTAAATTACGGCGAAATGTTAAAATGACTATCTTGCGTTTTCGGTTAAAGTTTTGTTTTCGTTCTACTGAAAAGTTCTTATGAAACATTGACCTATAATAACTTTTTCACGAGCGCCCGCTTATTATATACTTATAATTATGTTTTCTCGACCCGACTTTAAAACACATAAAGTTACGCCAGCGGCGTTATATTGAAATAGCCGATAGAATAGGTACTAAAACCGCCTCTCTAAACGACCGCGTACGATAGCCCAGTTTCACGACATTGTCTTCTAAGACCGTGACAGCAACGCGTTTTCTAAGAAAAAAAGAAAAGGTCGATAAAGTTTTTTCAAAACCCGATATAAAAAAAAAAGAAAAAAGAAAAGACAGACACACTTCACGCGATGAGCGGGCCTCTGTTGTAGGTGAGGAGTTGGGAAGGTAGGATATATAATACATAGAGAAATTATGCATATCTGTACGCAACGGTAAACCATTGTCAACGAAAAACGCTTCGGAGCGAAATTTCTTTTTTGTACACGCACGTATATTTTCACGTTTTTCTACCGGTTTCTCCCCGACTATTATGAAAACCGCTTCGAAAATCAAAAAAACGACCTCCCGAAAGCACCAAACAGATAAAACTTCCTCTCAGAAAAGGTGTTACGCTCGAAAATGGGAGCAAGATTTCTGGTGGATAAGTTGTTTACGGATGAAAACCAAAATGAACATCATTGTCAAACCAATACACGCTCTGAATGTAAACAAATTTTTCAATATGCACCGGATTTACAGCAGAACACGCCAGAAATACTATCTATATGACGGAGCGTTAAAAATTGAACATTTATAATGCATAGTTCGTTAGTTTTAGAGAAAAATCGCATATTTCGTCGATTTCCATTGATTTTCGCATATTTTTATTTTGAATATTTTTTTTCTTTCCTAACCAATTTATTTTAAATATATTAAATTTAAAACTCAATATTATTTAATGCGGTTATTTATTATTATCTCTTACCGTCTTGCCGTCCGTTATTCATTTAACGGGCGTGCGATTCGTGTTCAATGTTTGTTCTGTTCGTGCACATTAATGAATAATAAACCGAACGATTTGTTGCGCGTTTAACATTTATCCGCGCATATTCGCATGGATATTTCGCCTGTTTTTCAGCCCCTGTATAACATCCGGGCCCTGTAGTCCATGTGTTGTTTCGCCGCCAAACACCTCGTTCGAGTGTACACAACAGCCGTTGTTATTCAGCGAAACCTCCCGGTTCGCGCGAACGCATACCGGGCGTTTGCGAAAAACGATTGCGGCGCGCGCGTAAACAATTCGAATCGCCCCGCGATCGGATTAACGGCCGACCACGGCGGCCGGGTAACGGAGCCGCGGTCGCTAATCGCTTCCCTCCTCTCCCCCCTCCCCCCCCCGGCACAAACCGCGAGCGTTGAATTTTTTTATGCGGACCGAACGCATACTCGCCCCGTACAGTGTAC